TCCCCCTCCCTCCCCTCGGCTGCAGTGGCCACGGGCTTCCCCGCGGGACAGACACCTCTGCGCACGCGTCTGGAGGAGGTCCGGCTGGCGGTGGAGGATGGGGCCGCGGAGGTGGACGTGGTCATCAACCGGACCCTGGTGCTGGAGGGCCGCTGGGAAGGTGGGTGCGGCCGGCCCGGATGCGGGGGGAGGGGGGCGCCAGCGGAGAGCCCCCCACACCCACCCCGCATGGCCACCGCCCTCCCCGCCTCTGCCACCCTTCCCCCCACTCTGGGCCGGGTGAGCCCTCCTCCCCACCTCTGCCCCCCGTGGGGCTCACAGATGCTGGCCTCACCAACGGTACCGTTACTGTTGTTGTTGTTATTGTTATTCATGTCTGCGTGCAACTCTGAGTACTGACGTAGCCCAGCGAAGTCACGCCTGTCACCCCAGCGGCTCAGGAGGCTGAGATCTGAGGATCGCAGTTCAAGGCCAGCCCGGGCAGGAAAGTCCATGAGACTCTGATCTCCCATGAACCACCAGAAAACTGGAAGTGGCGCTGTGGCTCAACATGGTAGAGCGCCAGCCTTGAGTGAAAGAGCTGAGGGACAGCGCCCAGGCCCTGAGTTCAAGTCCCTCCCTTCATGCCTGCTTGCCTTTCTCTCTTTTTCTTCCCCCCCCTCCCTCCCGCCCCCCCTCTCTCATTTGACTGTCCTGGGGTTTGAACTCAGGACCTGATTTTTGCTAGGCAAGTGCCTCTAGCCCCAAGCCCTGCCCACCCCAGCCTCCCCGGGTGGGCTCCGGCACCTCTGGGATTACAGGCGTGCGCTGCTGCGCCCAGCTCCCCCGGCCTCCTTTCTTGGGTCTGGCTCTTGGGCGCGTGCTTGTCTTTGGGGTGCACCTCCCTTGGGGTGCGCTGCCAGGCGTGTTTCCCGGATGGATCGGGTGCAGGCCCTGCATTCTTGTCTGGAGTCTCAGACGCTTCACCGGGTTTCCTTAGGAGCCCGGGAAGATTGTCTGTCTGATTCTTGGTGAGACCCATCCTTGCCCGGCGGCGGCGAGGTCTGCCCGGTCTGCCCACCGGCGGGTGGCTGGGCCTCTTGCGTTTGAATAAGCGGGCATCCATTCATCCATTGCGGGTAGACACCACATAGACCATCAGCGCCCCCCCCCCCCCCGCTTGGTGAACCTTCAGCCTTCCCCAGGAACATGGAGCCCCTGCAGGCTGCGAAATAATTGCTCAGTAAAGCGCGCTGAGAGGGGGGGATGGGGTTGTTGAATCCTGAGCTGAACGCGACTTCACTCCCAAATGGCTGAGGCCTAAGGCACAGCAGGTTTTTCTGGTTCATTGTTGTTGCTGTTTGTGTATGTGGTGCTGTGGAATCGAACCCGGGGCCTCCTGCTGCACGCTAGGCAGTCGCTCTACCACAGAGCCCTGCTGCTGTTTTCTTTGATCAGAGCCGGTGCTCTGCTCCTTGAGCCACAGCTCCACTTCTGGCTGTTTTGTTTGGTGATTTTATGAGAGACCAGAGTCTCACGGACTTTCCTGCCCCAGGCTGGCTTTGAACTGTGATCCTCAGATCTCAGCCTCCCGAGTGGCTGGGACGACAGGCGTGAGCACCGGCGCCCGCCAAGTGCACGGCGTGACACGGACAAAGCTCTCTCTACCAGGGGAGGCCGGGCGGGGGCCGGGGAAGGGTGTGAGGGGCAGCAGAGCCCCCCCCACCTCACCCCACCCCGTGTTGTCCTGGGGGGGGTGTGACCAGTGATCATGGGAAGCTTTGTCTGTCGATCTTGGGCCCTGCAGCTCCCAGAAGCGACCCCCACCCCGCCAGCTCTCTCACCCCCCCCATTTCTCCCCCTTCCCCCCCAGCCCTGTACGAGGAGATCCGTGCATTCCGCCAGGCCTGTGGGGAGAAGGTGCACCTCAAAACCATCCTAGCCACCGGGGAGCTGGGCTCACTCACCAATGTCTACAAGGCCAGCATGGTGGCCATGATGGCAGGTAGGCCCCTCCCGCTTGGACCGGATTCCGGTTCTTTTATTTGGTCGGGGGTGGGACTTGAACTCAGGGCCTGGGCGCTGTCCCTGAGCTCTTTCCCTCCAGGCTGGCGCTCTACCACGTGAGCCACACCGCCAGTTCTGGTTTTCTGAGTGGTTCATGGGAGATCAGCGTCTCATGGCCTTTCCTGCCCTGGGCTGGCTTTGAGCCACGATCCTCAGATCTCAGCCTCCTGAGTAGCTGGGATGACAGGCGGGAGTCACCGGCGCCTGGCTCAGATTCTTATTCTTATGGGGGAAACTGGTCAAAATGAAAGCCTCTGGCCTGTTCCCCCGAGGGCCGGGGTGGGGGGTGGAGGTGGGGGGGGCGGATTCTCTTGTGGGAGGGGTGTGTGCCAGGTGCAAGTAAGCGTGAGTCCTCGTAGTGGAGGGCTGGACTCTGATCTTGCTCAGTTCCTGTGGCGTCTGTTCCTGCGCTCTCCTGACAGGCCAGCAGGTGGCGCCCTGGTCAGCCATTTGCCGGTCCTGTCAACCGATTATTCATTCATCTACAGATGAACAGCCATCACTGATCTTTTTTCTTGGTACCGATCCTGGGTCTTGAACTCAGAGCCTGGGCGCTGTCCCTGAGCTCTTTCACTCAAGGCTGGCGCTCTACCACGTGAGCCACAGCGCCACTTCTGGTTTTCTGGTGGCCTCGAACCGTGATCCTCAGCCCTCAGCCTCCTGAGTCTGACAGGCGTACACCGGGGCGCCCGGCTCCTGCTCGGAAGTTTTGGAAGAGCGGCTTGCTAGCTCTTCCAGGAAGGAATCCAGATGTTGGCCAGGATTTCCCACCCCTCCCGACTCCCCCTTTTCTCCGGGAACTCGGGATTGGTTTCTCTTCCCCCCGTTTGGGGGTTCGGAGTGAACGTCTGCCCTTTCTCTCTCCTGCCCAAGGCTGTGTGGGCTCAGCAACTCCTGCGAGCCAGAGAGAGACGGAGACAGAGACAGATAGACAGACAGACAGAGACAGACAGGGAGAAAGAGGATTCGAACCCGAAAAGTGTTGGCAGAGCAGGAGTGTGGAGGACCCTGGACTGATCTTGGGGCTCCAGGACTAAGTACCTTCCACACAGAGCTGAGCCTCCTCTCCAGTGAATCAATGAGCCGAGAGACCGAGTTCCCACGGGAAAAGGAGCAAAACTCCTTTTTATGAAAGACGGGTTGGTAAAAAAAAACAAACAACCCCCCCCGAACCCCAGAAACTCAACCCACTTACCACCAAAAAAAAAAAGAGATTTGCGCTGACATGGAGGTGTGTGTGGGGTCCCCTCCCCCAAAGCTTTGCTCAGCGTTCATCGCGACTCTTAATCCACATAAAAGTAAGCGTCATTTTCCAGCTGGCTGCATCGGGGCGCTGTGGATCTGAGTCCATCCCTGTGGAAGTGGTGAGCCCCGCGGTGTGAGTCACTCTGCGGTCCCGCCGCTGTGAACACCCGCGGGCTGAGTCCACATGTCCCGGGCTTCACAGCCCGTCTTCCCCCTCCTCCTCTCTGCCCAAGCCTTTCCCTCTCCCTTCCCCGGAGAGAGACAAAGCAGATACGTCTTGATGCGAAAACTTCGTCACTCACGGAAGGTGTTGGCGAAGACAGGAGCCCCGAACCCGGGAAGCTCCAGCAGCGCAAGGACAGAGGCTGGCCACAGAACAAGACTGCCCTGCGCCAGTGCTCACGCCTGCCATCCCAGCGACTCAGGAGGCTGAGATCGAAAGATCACGGTTCAAAGCCAGCCCAGGCAGGAAAGTCTGTGAGACTCTGATCTCCCATGAACCACCAGAAAACCAGAAGTGGCGCTGTGGCTCAAGTGGTAGAGCGCCAGCCTTGAGTGAAAGAGCTGAGGGACAGCGCCCAGGCCCTGAGTTCAAGACCCAGGGCTGACTCCCCTCCCCCACAAAAGCTGGAGAATGTGAGACCTTCAGCATTAGAGATTTGATTTCTAGATCAATGTTTGTGTTCTATCATGAGTCTAAAGCACTAAGCGATCCCATCGTCTGGATTTTCAAATTATTTTATCCTATCGATCTCTGGATCTCTGTATATATGTATGTATGTATGTATCTATTTATTGCCTGTCCTGGGTCTTGAACTCAGGGCCTGGCACTGTCCCTGAGCTCTTTCACTTAAAGCTGGTGCTCTACCCCTTGAGCTACAGCACCACTTCCGGCTCTCTGATGGTTCACTGGAGATCAGAGTCTCAGGGACGTTCCTGCCTGGGCTGGCCTCGAACCTCGATTCTCAGATCTCAGCCTCCCGAGTGGCTGGGATGACAGGCGTGAGCCACTCCACAGGAACCCAGCCTGACTTTCAGTTTTCATTTTCTCCTTCCTTCTTCCTCCTGCTGAGACACAGAGGTGAAGCTTTGCGGGGCTCTGGTCTGAGGCTGAGCACTCTCGTCAGAGCCTCTGCCTCCCTGCCTCCCTGCCTCCCCCAGCCCAGTCTCCAGCCCTGACCCCACAGCCCTTAAAGCCACACCCCAGATTCTTTATCCACCCGTATGGACGTAACCTTTGCAGATTGCGTTTGAATTTGGGGCTTTGCATTCTGTTTATGAAGAGGGCTTTTGTTTGTTTTTAAGGAGTGTCTCATGGTGGACAGCAAGTGTGAATTAGTGTCAGAATTACCGAATTGCCGCTGGCAACTCTGGCTAACTCGAATCGGTAATTTCTTGGCGAGCCTGGAAATAATTATTAACAGTGTCGGCGTGAACGCCGCGTAAAAGACAAGCGTTCTCAAACATTTTAAATGTGCATTTGAAACCCCACGATTCGTTAGTAAAGTATAAAGTGCAAAGAATGCATCCGCCATGCTATCCCCCCGCAGAACCACCGTCCACGGTCCACCGGATTCTTTTTTCCTACATCACAAACCAGATTGGCTCCAGAAGTACTTAAAAAAAAAAATCCGTATGTTTTCCCATTGTAAGCTGTGTTTTCCCTGCGTAATCACAACGGAAGCTTATTACGCACTAATAGCCTTGAGATATTATTATTATTGTTGTTATTATCTTAAACGTACAGCTTTGGTCTGAAGACTAGTTTCTTCATCTTCTCTTGTTTCAATAGAGTTTGAATGAGATCTTCAAAATTGAATAATAATTTGATCCGTTCATCTTTGGGAGCCAGTAATTTTATTTTCCTCTCTCTCTCTCTCTTTCTCTCTTTTGCTCAGTCCCTCTGTGGTCTCAGAGGTTCGCAAATGAATAGCGGTTCATTACGGGAGCCTGCTTTTAATAACCATTATCCATTATCTTGTAATTAAGACTCTCCCTGTAAGGAATCAGGAAGACAATGCAAAAATACATAGTCCATTTCCTTAATGAACTGGAAATGTTCTCCGTGGCTCTGTTTGCTAATGAGCTGCTGAGCACTCATTAAAGTCGCTGGAGAAAAGCACGAAGATGGGTTTTGAAGACTCGTCTTGCTGTTTGCGGTTAATCTATTAGAATTAAAATTTCATCTTCTATTTTTATCAACAGCTGATTAGAAGTCACTCTGTTTGACCAAATTGATTACAAGCCCATATACAAGGGCAGCTGTTATTTAATGGAAGTTGCTTAATGAAACCGTACCTCGGAGATTTGTAATTAGAGCCCCTTCGAAGAGCTTGGGGTAGCTTTAAGCCCACCAAGAAAAAACAAAACAAAACCAAAAACGATTGTGTAAGGATTGCAAGTGAGGGAGAGGAGAAGCTATAACAGACCCGAAGGCTACAGCATTATTCATTTTAATACCGTAGTTCACTAATACTTTGGCCTCCTAGGTTTCTTCATTTTGTTGTCCTGGAGTTCTTAGAAAAGAACTGGGTCTCTTTCTTTTAATTGTGAGATAATGATGATGATGATGATGATGATGACGACGACGACGATGACGATGACAACGACAACTCATTTTTTTTTTTTTTTTGCCAGTCCTGGGACTTGAACTCAGGGCCTGGTCACCATCCCTGAGCTCTTTCACCCAAGGCTGGTGCTCTACCACTTGAGCCACAACTCCACTTCTGACTAGTTTATTGGAGATCAGAGTCTCATGGACTTTCCTACCCGGGCTGGCTTTGAACTGTGATCCTCTAGATCTCAGCCTCCTGAGTAGCTGAGATGACAGGCGGGAGCCACGTTTTCTTAAGGTAGAGGAAAAGTACCCTGTGTGTGATTGTGAGGTCCTGTGGTCTGTTTGTGCACCACCGCTGTGGGAAAGTTGTGTCTCGTGTTGCTATGGTTACCAGTCGATGGCCTGATCACTGGAGAGCCAGGGGCCACTGTTGGGGAGGGGGTTTCTAGAATGATCTGTGTGAGAATGGGTGGGGTTTGTGGATGCCGGTGTAACTGGCGTCGAGTTGGAGAGATGAAGGGCTCTGTGTGCATGCCTTTTCTGTGTCCGTCTAGCAGTGGGTCATGTGCCTAGTCCAGAAGCAAGACACTACAGCAGGGCAGGACAGATCCCTGCCCCACGCCATGCTTTCTAGCACATTCTCTCACAAAGAGAAGCATTGGGGAAACGGCTCACTCTAGGGCCGGGGCAGAAGGCAGAGAGTGTGTTGGAATACGTGAAAATAAATGCTTAAGATAAAACCAACCCACATTGGTGCCGGGCGCCGTGGCTCCCACCTGTCAAACCAGCCACTCAGGAGGCTGAGATCTGAGGATCGTGGTTCAAAGCCAGCCCAGGCAGGAAAGTCTGTGAGACTCTTCTCTCCAGAAACCTGGAAGTGGAGCTGTGGCTCAAGTGGTAGAGTGCTAGTACTGAGCAAAAAAAACAACAACAAAAAAGCCCAAGTTCAAGCCCTATAGCTGACCAAAAATGGTGGTAATAATAATAGTAATAATAAAAATATTCATTTTGGTTTTTCAAAGTGAAAGAAAAGTTGTATTCCTCAGGAAAGGTTGGGATGCAACTCATTTCTTTCCCTGATGTGTTAAAAATACAAACCAAAACAAAAAACGGGGAAAAAGAAAGCTTTTAATGAACCTGGAACCTTTTCTTGTCTCCCTGCTCTTGTTTCAGGGTCTGATTTTATTAAAACGTCCACGGGAAAGGAGACAGTCAACGCCACCTTCCCCGTGGCCATCGTGATGCTTCGAGCCATCCGAGACTTCTTCTGGAGAACGGGAAGGAAGGTACATGGTTGCCTGTGCAGCTTCGGTCTTCGCCGGGGAGGAGAGACACTGTCATTTATATTACCCCTCACAGCCACGGGCTCTGCGTGGAGGAGGAGCAGGGTGGCATCACCTTTAAGATAAACGTTTCAGTTAGCCTGTGTGTGAGGAGCAAAGTGTCCACTCGCTCCTCAGCCCTGTGTTCACCCGAGATGATCCTTTATCACCAACGGGCGAACCCCTAAGCGGCTTCTTTAATGAGTTAGGCCTTCATAGAGGGGGGTGATGTCCAGTGAAAACAGGTGAATGATGAAATTACACTCCCCCCCTCCCCCCAGCATGGACGGAATAACAGAATAACGCGCATGGGTGATAAGCCGTGCGTGGTGGCAGGGAAGCCAGTGCTGCTGCATCATGGGAAATCATCTTTTTCCTGTCATTACTGAAGGACACACACACAAATGGGTTTTCCTTTTTTTTTTCCTTCCCCCTCCTTAACTGTTCCCTCCTCCCTTGTCCAGTCTAGGACCAAAAAAAACCCCCAAAAGGTATTATGTTTAATAATAGGAGGTGAAGAGAAAGTTCTTGAAAGAGATGAACTTCTTAAACACGATAATGAAATAAGAGGAGACGGCTGGGAAAAAATCAAGGAGGAGGAGCAGGCGGCTGGGGGAGCTGTTGGGGAGGAGGAGCAGGCGGCTGGGGGAGCTGTTGGGGGAGATGACTGAGCTCTCTCCCAAGGCTGTGAAGCCAAGGAGGGACGTAGTGGCTTTTATCAGCTCTGGGGAAAATCTCATTTATTTACGTATTTGGGGAAAATGGGACATTCAAAAGGCAGACGGTATGCGGTGCAGTACGCGCACCCGTTTTTAAATGAATTTGGACTTGGCTTGTTTGTTGGAGTGGTTCCTGGGAGCTCAGAGTCTCACGGACTTTCCTGCCCCGGCTGGCTTTGAACCATGATCCTCAGATCTCAGCCTCCAGAGTGGCTGGGATGCCCTTCCCTCTCCATGAGACATCTCTTTTCTAAAAATGTTTTTACTGTGATGACAAAGGTGACAGGCAGAGGGTGACAGTGACATCAGTCGGGTCGTGAGTGCATGTCTCTGGGGACCCTGTCCCCCCTTCCCTCGCTCTCTCCCCCAGATTGTCCCTCCCGTCCCCACCCACGAGTGGTAGAGTTCATTCTCCACCTGGTGTCCAGTGAGGACCCCGGCTGCCTTGGTTTCCCCTCCGTCCCCCCATTTCTGTGTCCCCCTCACCCTCCCAGAGACAGAGAAACCCACCACACAAGACAAAGAGGAAACAGCAGCAGAGAGAAATCCCTCTTGAGACACCTCCCTAAACCCCGCCCCGGCCGGGCACCGTGACGCACACCTGCAGTCTGAGCTGGGGCTCTCTTGTCTCTCCCAGGGGTGCAGACGCAACTTTGTTGTCTCCTCCCCCGACTTTGGGGTCCCAGGGAAGTGGGGTGCATTGTCCTCCATGTGTATCGGGATGCAGGCACTGGGCCAAAAAAGCAACAAGGAAGGAGGGCAGACGGCCGGCCGGACTGCCAGGCGGTGACCCTGCAGGAGGCCGGCCTCGACTGACGGGTCTCCCCCCTCGCAGGTGGGGTTCAAGCCCGCGGGCGGCATCCGCAGTGCGCGGGACGCCCTGGCCTGGCTGTCGCTGGTGAAGGAGGAGCTGGGGGACGCCTGGCTGCAGCCCGACCTCCTGCGCATCGGGGCCAGTGGCCTCCTCCTGGACATCGAGAGGCAGGTGAGTCGGCGCCCGCGGCCTCCACGCCCGGGCCTCCCCGGCCTGGCCTCCTCGCGGGATGGGCTGGGTGGCGGGGGACCCATTGAGACCCCCCCCAGGGCTGAGTCTTACATAGGAGCTAAGGGATCTGTGGAATGATCTAGAAAACACGTTAACACGCCTCCCCCTGGCAGATTTACCATCACGTGACTGGACGGTACGCGGCCTACCACGACCTGCCCATGTCCTGACCGCGCCCGTGCCCCCGGGGGCCCTTCCAGACCTTCTAGAAGTCACCCCGCACACCAGGGCTGAGAGGGCCAGAAGTAGGGGACCAGCCTCGAGGCTCCCGCCTGTCATCCCGGCTACTCCGGAGGCTGAGATGTGAGGATCGCGGTTCAAAGCCAGCCCGGGCAGGAAAGTCTGTGAGACTCTGATCTCCAATGAACCACCAGAAAACCAGAAGTGGAGCTGTGGCTCAAGTGGTAGAGCACCAGCCTTGAGCGAGAGAGCTCAGGGACAGCGCCCAGGCCCCGAGTTCAAGCCCCAGGACCTACAAAACAAAAAAATAAATAAAAGCACGCACGGCGTTACAATAAGATGCCTGCAGGGAACAGCTCGGGGAGAACCCGCGCTCTCCCAGCCAGCTGCCGCGGGGCCGGGTTTACACGCGTGTGCATGCGTGTGTGCGTGTGTGTGCGGGGTGAACCCGCGCTCTCCCAGCCAGCTGCCCCGGGGCCGGGTTTACACACGTGTGCATGCGTGTGTGCGTGTGTGTGCGGGGTGAACCCGTGCTCTCCCAGCCAGCTGCCGCGGGGCCGGGTTTACACACGTGTGCATGCGTGTGTGCGTGTGTGTGCGTGCGGGGTGAACCCGCGCTCTCCCAGCCAGCTGCCGCGGGGCCGGGTTTACACGCGTGTGCATGTGTGTGTGCGTGTGTGTGCGTGCGGGGTGAACCCGCGCTCTCCCAGCCAGCTGCCCCGGGGCTGGGTTTACACGCGTGTGCATGCGTGTGTGCGTGCGTGTGCGTGCGGGGTGAACCCGCGCTCTCCCAGCCAGCTGCCGCAGGGCCGGGTTTACACGCGTGTGCGTGCGTGTGTGCGTGAGTGTGCGTGCGGGGTGAACCCGCGCTCT